CACGATGGGTCCGCGAGTATCTCCCGATACCTCAGCTGTGCCTGATGCCTAGGTCCGCGAGCTCGTCTCGCCCGATCCATAAACTGCCTCGGCTGCGCACGACGGGTCCGCGAGTCCGTCTCGCCCGATCCCTCGGCTGCGCCCGACGCCTGGTTCCGTGAGCTCGTCTCGCCCGATCGCTAAACCGCCTCGGCTACGCACCACGGGTCCACGAGTCCGTCTGACCCAATCCCTCGGCTTTGCCCGACGCCTGGGTCTACGAGCTTGTCTTGCCTGATCCCTAAACCGCCTCGGCTACGTGCGACGGGTCCATGAGTATCGCCTGATACCTCGGCTACGCCCGACGCCTGGGTCCACGAGCTCGTCTTGACCGATCCCTAAACTGCCTCGGCTACGCACGATGGGTCCGCGAGTCCATTTCGCCCGATCCCTCGGTTGTGCCCGACGCCTGGGACCGCGAGCTCGTCTCGCTCGATCCCTAAATTGCCTTGGCTGCGCACGATGGGTCCGCGAGTCCGTCTCGCTCGATCCCTCGGCTGCGCCCGACGCCTGGGTCCACGAGCTTGTCTCGCCGATCCCAAAACCGCCTCATTTCACAAGATGATGGGTCCGCGAGTATCGCCTGATCCCCTACGCGCTTCGATGCTCGGGTCCGCGAGCTCGTCTCGCTTGATCCCTAAACTACCTCGGCTGTGCACGAGCTCGTCTCGCTTGATCCCTCAGCTGTGTCCGACGCCTGGGTCCGTGAGCTTGTCTCGCCCGATCCCTAAACCGCCTCGGCTGCACATGACGGGTCCGCGAGTATCGCCCGATCCCTCAGCTACGCTCGACGCCTGGGTCCGTGAGCTCGTCTCGCCCGATCCCTAAACTGCCTCGGCTGTGCACGACAGGTCCGCGAGTCCATCTTGCCCGATCCCTCGGCTGCGCCCGATGCCTGGATCTGCGAGCTCGTCTTGCCCGATCCCTTGGCTACACCCACGGGTGCGCTCGCGTGCATCCACCGTCAAGACAAATACCCCTAGACGATTCTACCCAAATCGCCCGGGGGCTCGGGGGCTCCTGTCGGGTTCATAAACCCGGGGTCCCTCATGGACCGGCTTCCCAGCAAAGGCTCAACCCAGCAGACGACGTTATTTAACGACGCTTAGCACCCCCGGGCCGCCTAAAACCTAAATGACAAGCCAGAAGGGCGCTCCAAATCTCCGACCGGAAGGCCTGGCCGAGGAGGAACGACGTCCGCTTCCGACTCCGGCTCGCCTCTCCGACCGAAAGGCCTCGCTAAAGAGGAACAACGCTCGCTTCAAACTCTGGCCCGCCTTCAGCCCGCCTCTCCGACCGTAAGGTTGGCTAACAGCGCTCACTTTCGACTCCGACCCAGCGTCTCCGACGGGGATGCACCGAGCCCCGCTTACAACTTTTCTCCGATCAAGCGCAATGAGCCGACCGACCAACCGGACGGGGACGCCTGCGCCGAGGAGGACTAGGAAACGGACGAAGCAAGTAAGGCAGGGCACTCAAGACAACCGCAAATCCCGAGGACCGTATCCAGACACACAGAGAACAAGACTGACATGGCGTGGCGGAAGGGCATCCTACAACCTTCCAGACATGTCAGAACCCAAGCAGTGTTGTGGGCACCGACATTTTGCCCTACAGTGTTATGGGCGCCATCAATTCCTATACCAGGCGAACACGGTAAGACTCTCCGCACGCCTCTAGGCATCAACAGTGTTGTGGACGCCGCCATTTACCATACATGGTGAATGCGGTAAAACCTCCCACATGCGTCTGACAATAACAGTGTTGTGGATGCCTACAATCATCTTGTACCCGACGGCGTGGGCAACAAGACTTACCGACGTACGCACTCTCTCTCTCGCTTGTAAGCCCGTCCTCTTCATCTATAAAAGGGGGATGCGCTCTCTTCCAGTAGAAAGACGACTCTCGATTGATTCAACACTCAACAACAGAACCGCCAGGTTCGAGCCTCGAGCACACGCTCAAACACTCAGCGCACGTAGGAGCTCTCGTCACTCTCGGCCCTTCAAACCGGAGTCGACCGGACCTCTTGCACCTCCCATCTTACTCCCTCTCGTTTGTAATCCCACTCCAAACTTCGAGCACCTGGGCTCAGAAATAAAGTCACCGACCGACTCAAACTGGACGTAGGGCACGTTGCTTGAACCAGTATAAACCCTGTGTCATTGAGTGATAGGCCACATCCGATCACAAAGTACGGCAAAACTATAAATATTTACGTGTTGGTTACTTTCTGCACCGATAATACTACTGTACAATATTGATTAACAATAGTAGTATGAAAGTAAAATAGAGCATTTTAAGGTGATCCAAACTATCGTGTGAGCCGTCCACTATAAGGTTATCCAAGTTTTGGCATCTCTATCGCAAAAAGAGGTGTTGGTACTATAGCCACTCATTGCTTCGTGAGCTATTAGACCCAAAATCAATTATTGCATAAGAATCAAGCACTGCGATAAGTTTTAGTTGGCACATGCTGTTTTAGGGACTGCGGTCAATAATAAGGCATGAAGGATTTGATTTGCTCCATGAAATTAGTATTCCTCTGGCCATTTATTTTTCTTAAAAGCTCAATATCAAAATGCATATAACAATGGAAATGAGAACTAATAAACCAGGACGAAATTCTGATAATCTTCTGATCGTGGAGATAGTATATGTAATATGCATGCCTGTTTTTTTTAAGACTATCATGGCAAATTCGAACTTGTTTAGATATTTGAATTATGATGCATGGACTGGATATTTGAGTTTGCAGCACAGATATTTTCCTCCAACCACAACATTTCATTTAGCATGTTATAAAAACACATTTCTTTTAGCATGTTTAATCTCGTGTAAGTAGCATTTTGGCATTTCTAATATAAGAAATGTAGGACCAGATCGATGGGGTGTACGCTTGCTTGTTTTTGGTAGGCGAACTCCTGTGTCTACTACAGTACTACTACATCCATACTCATTTTTTGACAAGAGCATACATGCAAGTAATTTCGCTGTACTAGTTCCCATAGAGCAATAAGCAGGTTTCTACACACAATTTATATCAGGAAAAATACCATGAACAGTAGTGTAAAAGATTCCAAAAAAATTAATTTAAATGAATAACAAATACAGAAGGATACGATTACTTAGGCCTTGTTTAGTTGGCGAAATTTTTTGAAAAATTGTACTGTATCACTTTCGTTGTTACTTGACAATTAGTGTCCAATCATAGTCTAATTAGGCTTAAAAGATTCGTCTCGTGAATTTCGTCTAAACTGTGTAATTAGCTTTATTTTTTATTTATATTTAATGCTTCATGCATGCGTCCAAAGATTTGATGTGACGAGAAATCTTGAAAAAATTTTGCAAAATTTTAGAAACTAAACAGACACTTACACAAGGACTAATATCAACATCATTGGCACCAGGCCACCAGCCTGAATTCCAAAAGACTGCACAAGGAACAAGGAACAAAGACTGGGCTGTTCGCTGATTGATTTCTGGACTGATAAGCTTGGCTGATGCTGGTTAGTTATAAAAAGAAAATACTATTAGCTGACTAATAAGTCATGATTGAAACCAACAAACCAACGTGCTAAAAAATAGGTGGGGTGGAGTACAACAAATTCTTCCAAAATTTAAATGCCAACAGTATACCTGACGACCATCCTGAAACAAAAAAAAAAGTTTGGAGAAAAAAAAAACCAAAAGACCCTATGATCAGGCACAAGATGAAAAGGACCCAGGCCTTGTTTAGATTGACTCAAAGTTCCAAGTTTTTTCACTCTCTCTCCATCACATCAATTTTTGGACGTATGCATGGAGCATTAAATGTAGATAAAAAAAGTAACTAATTGCACAGTTTGATTGTAAATTACGAGACGAATCTTTTGAGCCTAGTTAGTCTATGATCGGACAAAGTTTGTCAAATACAAACGAAACGTGCTACAGTATCCAGATTGCAAAAATTTGCAATCTAAACAAGCCCCCAATTTGCTAAGCTCAGCAATCATGGCCACTGTGTTTTGCCGTGCAGGCCGAAAATAAATCAATTATTTCATCCTGTCCTGTCTCCCACCTGCTTTTTCTCAAACTGTTTCCCACATGCAACATTATTAAAAAAATTCAAATATATATATATTCCACCTCCTTCTGCATATATACATAATAGCACCCTTTTCAGTTGTGATATAAAAAAGAAAAACCAATAAAATAATGTCCCCTTGCGGGTAAGCTGTCTCCCCTCTGGTGTGGTTTGTGGTGCCCCATCATTTTCGGGCTATTTAAGGCACCCATTCCCCTCCATTCCCTTCCTCCCTCCTCATCCAGAACAGGGAGCTCCACTCAAAGCTTGAGCTTTATTTTTTCTTGTTTTGTTTTATTTTCTTGGTAGGAGTAACAATAGTTCCTGGCTGCCTTCTTCCTCTCTATCCTATAGGAGGAGAGGAGAGAAATCCAGAGGCAAAGCTTCAGGTAAACATGGCACCCTCTCCCTCTCCCTGTGTTCCATCCCTTCTGAATAGCTGAGATCTGTTCTTGTTTGTTCTTGCACCAGTTCATCTTAGCTAGCAACATGCCTGTGCCTTGCTGCAAATCTCTGAAGGATTAGATTTTTTTTTGTAAGGCCAGTGGTCACAGATCTTCCCAACACTAGTCTCATGTGTAAATAACATGCTTTCTTGCACAAATCTGTTTGAAGATTCATCTACTACGAGGGAAAAAAAATCCTTCATCAAGCTTCACCTCACCATATACTCATGATTTTTTTTCCTTGTCCTGTTTTCGCCCCTTCAAGCTTAGATCTGCATACCTGTTGATGAAATATCTCATCTTTTTCTTCGTGGCCAAGTGAACTCATGTAGCTGACTATTTCTTGCCATTTGTTTGTTCTTGCAGGGTTTGTATAAATTCTAGATCTAATCGACTAACCAGAAAAACCAAAAAGAAAGCGAGAAAGCATGAGTCACTTCGCCGCCGCCATGAAGAGCCCCCTTGCCGTCGCCACGCCCGCCGCCACCGGCGACGCCAAGAGCCCGCTCTTCTGCCCCAAGCCGCGGCGCCCCGTGGCGCCTCTCCGCTGCCACCAGAGCGGCGGGTTCTCCGACGCCGGCATGGATCTGCTCGACCTCCTCCTCTCAAAGGTGGGATCTTTTTGCCTCCTCGCTCGGTCGCTCCCGGATTTCCCTGTGTTTTTCTAGTAAAGCATACAAGGAGCTGACGTTTTCCTGTCCGAACGTTCTTCGGCAGGGAGAGGAGAGCGGTCTGTCGGCGGCGTCCCAGCAGCCGCCGCTGTTCTGCGGCTCGCCACCGCGTCGAGCGTCGAATCCGGTGGTCCACGACAGCCGGTTCGGCATGGACTGCCCGCCCGTGCCCATGCCCATGCCGGGGCTCCCGGTGGTGGTCGCCGCCCCGGTGGCCGTCCAGCGGCCGACCCCGCGCCCGTCGGTGGCGGCGCCGTCCATGTCGCCGCGCGGTGCGGCCGGGTGCGCCCGCGCCCGGTTCGCGTTCCAGCCCGCCGCGGTCCGCGTCGAGGGTTTTGACTGCCTCGACCGCAGCCGCGGCGGCCGCGGCCATGGCATCACCGCCATGGCCTAGATGCACATACAACACTCCAAGTAACCCTGAGAACCCTCCTCCCCCCCTCCATCCCATCCATGGTGCAAAAGAGCCACCCTTTGCTGCTACCACAAGCACTTGGTTGGAGGAGAGGGGTGGGGAGAAATTGAGAGGATCATTTTGTCCTAAATTTTAACCCCCCTAAAAACTACTACTTTTATATAAATCCGTCCCATCCATCCATCTGCCCACCCACCCAACCAATCCATCCCACAAGGCCACAATCATAATGAGTTTAGGTAATTTTACCACAGATCTTTTTTTTTATGTAAATAAAGTTTCAGGTTCAGGTTCGTCATGTAAATTCGGGAGCACTACTAGCTGGGGAAGGGAATGAAATTGGGTAGAAATTAGAGGGAGGAGCAGGGACAAAAAAGAAGAATGCCCGTCTTGGATTAATCAAGATTTCCTCATCTGTCCCTGCCCCTTCTCTCTTGGAGGAGGATTGGTTTAGTCACTGGATTAGGTGGGAGGGAGGTTGGGATTAGTTTGGTAATCTGTCGTAGTTCATCAATCAATGATGTTTTCTTTCTTTTTGGTTTTTGATGATGGAAATTGTTTTTGTCCGTCCGTCCATGCAACCAAGAAATTTCTTCCAAGGCCATGGAGAATCTGTACAAAAGAGTGGCTACCTACAAGAGGAGAGAGTTGATTGTCTGAGAGCAGCAGCAGCAGCAGAAGCTAGGTTTAAATCAGTCAGTCAGTGGATGAGCTGAGAGAGACATTCACATGCTGAGAGGGTATTATTTGTGATATTTTCTTTTCTTTTTCCTGATTTTGTATATTGTAATATCCTGCTGGATTTCCAATGAATCAACCTGTATAATAGTTATTATTATGAATCATGCTACATGAATGGTTATCCCCACCTGCACCAGCAGCACCACCCTGGAATTCAGACTTTTCTGTCCTTGTGCTGTGCCTGTGCTGCTGATGTGATTTCTCTTAATGGTGGTTGAATGGTCCCATGTCAGTCATCAGTCGACGAGAAGAGCCACCAACCACATGGTTTCCATGTGCCGAAGCAACACGGAGGCGATAATGACGGTGATGTGTCAGTGGCTCCTGCTAACAAATACTACAATAATCAGTAGCCGCTTGTTTGCTTTCCTTTCGCGAGTCGGGTCCGCAGCTGAGCTGCTGACTCATGGAGAGAGGGATTTCAGGGACCAGACGGACACGTTTAAAGCAGGAGACGAGGGGATTAGCATGACAAAAAAACACTCTCGCTGGATGTCATTGTCACCCTCTCTTAAATTAAATCTCTCGCCCCTGGTGTCGCTGTCCAGTGAGATTTTGGTTGGGGCTCACTGATTTGGGCCTGGATGAGCTGAGAAGCTCATCTGCTGAAGTTTCAGTAGTTTTTCTTGTTTTCTATGGTTAGTCAGTCAATCAGTGTGCTGGTGAGAGAGACGGCCTGGCTGCTGGCTTCGCTTGGTGCGTGCTTGCTCGCAGAAATTCAGAGTTCAAAGTTGAAATGGCAATCTGAGGGAGAAGGAAAAAGGACGGGTGAGGACATGTCTGTGCGTGTGGCGTGTTGTTGCTCTCTTGCGGCCATGCCATGCCTGAAAAAGAGGTCAACCTGAGAGGCTGGGCAGGCGCCATGGAAAGGTGCAAACTGCAAAAGGATGCTGCTTCAACGGCTTGTGGTCTTACCATAGCCGCACAGGCATGCAGCATAGTACTTTGCACTGTTATAGGAGTATACAAATCCAAGGTTCAAATTCAAACTTGATGGAAGGAAAGAAAGGCAAATGGATTTGTCTGAGGGTTTGTTTGCATATCCGTGCCAATCCACCCAGGGGCAGAAAAGGGAATTCGTGGAATGTACGCGGCGCCCCTGTCCGTAGAGGATCCGGATCCCGCCTAAAGATGGCGATGGGTCCTGATACCCCATACCCGAGGGATACTTGATCCAGTAGGAGACAGGGATAGGATCATATCTTTATTTGCGTGCATCTAAATAGACAAGAATTCATCCTCGACGGGTATAGCGGGTACGAGAACGTTCTCTGTTTACCTGTCCCCGTTACCTGTTGGGGAACCCGACTATTTGAGCTGTTATGCGAATATTAGGCTCAAAGAAACTCAACATAGGTATTTTGGTCCAAATCTAAACAATCACATATATATATATAGTTTGTGTGTTCTAGGAACCCTAGTTTAATTTTTCCTTACCATCTCCGCCAGCAGCACAAGCACGCCTGCCTCACGAGCGCTCGTGCCCCCTCGCTTCCTCAGTTCGGTCTCTCTGCCACCTTTGCTTGTCCGACGTCAGGGTCCTCGCAACCTCGCTCCTTCTCCTCGGTATCTCCGAGATTCCGACACTTATACCCGGGTGAAGAAACGTCTCCGATTATAAAGTTGCGACCCCAAGTGTCCTTGTTTATTGGGTATGCAGTACCCGTCGGATATCTGTTACCCGATCGATGCCCGACGGGTACAGAGATAAACAAAAATTTATACCTAAGATAGTTAACGGGGACGGTAACAGGATAAATTAGTACATCCCCGTTGTCATCCATAGTCCCGCCACCCCGGATCCAGACAGCAGCGTGTTTGCGTCAACGGGCTCGCTCTGGGCACCGTCGTCACTTCGCTTCGCAGCCCATGGAGGACAGGAGGAGCCGCTGGATTGCTACTGGAGGGTGTAGCAGCTGAGCTGTCCACGCGCAGTGGTGGTGGTGGGGCCCAGGCGTGACTAGATCCCATCTCATGCGAGATGCGACCGTCGGGGTGCGTGCGCGGGTGCGCGCGTAATAAATTAGAGCTTGTTGGACGGCACGGCAGGAGCAGCAGAGGCAGCACGAGCCGTGAATTCAAAATATCGGTACGGCCACACGGTCACACTGTTCGCTTAAGCATCGGCTATTTTTTCAGTGACCCGAACAAGGCCTATCTGTAGGCCATGTTTAGTTACCCTAAATTCTAGAATTAGCGCACGTTTAGTTTCTCAAAGTTGGATTTTGGGCTATCGTAGCAGGTTCGTTTTTATTTGACAAATAGTGTTTAATTATGGACTAATTAGGTTCAAAACGTTCGTCTCGTAATTTCCTACCAAACTGTGCAATTAATTTTTTTTCGTCTACATTTAATGCTCCATGCACAGGCCGCAAACATTCGATGTGACAGACACTGTAGCAACTTTTTAGAATTTGGGGTCCAACTAAACAAGGGCTTAGACATTATGCAAAAAGAAGATTCTCCGTCACATCAAACTTACGGTACATGTATGAAGTACTAAATGTTGACGAAATCAAAAACTAATTGCACAACTTGGTTGTACTTTACGAGACGAACGTTTTAAGCCTAATTAGTCAACGATTGGACAATTATTATCAAATAAAAACAAAATGCTACAGTGTAAGTCCGGTTTTCCGGCGGCGCCGAATCCGGCGTGAACTAAACATGGCCTAACAGAGATAACAAAGAAAAAAAATTCATGTTTCAGAGATGGACTAATTTTTTCTCTTCTTTTTGACAGATCTCAGCCGATGAGTTCATGCACTGTATGCCGTTTTTTTTTTTTTGCTGCTGAGGTGACGTAAGCAACAAGAGAATCATGACTGATGGCCAGCAACATCGTGTGATTGTTTGTAAAAAAACAGACGCCTGTATAATAGCAATCCCCATATTCCAAACCCGATATGTTTTCTTGTGAGTACGGATATACGGCGTATTATGAAAACCATCCGGTTTGCCATTCGAATTTCATTTGAATTTGTCGCAAGCATGCCTTGAGTCGAGCACTACTACTAGCTGCTGGTCAATGGTCATGGCGTGCTCCTCCTACTCCGTAGTGTTGCACTTGCGCTAGAGCACCGCAACTGCAAGGCTTGTTTGACCGTCTGCTCTGCTCCGAGAGGCACATGGCATTTTTTATATGATAAATTTCTCCGTTATTCCGTTTCCTGGGGTGCCAATTCGTGTGAATAAAGGCTGTCTGTCTCCACGGTGGTGAGACTGAGATCCCAAGGAATTATATTCCAAGTGAAAAAAGAGAGAAACAAATTGGAAAATTTATATTCCAAGTGAAAAAGAAAAGAAAAAAATGGAATTTAAAAAGAGCTCCAGTCGTGTCGAGCGCGGAGCGTGCATGATCAATTCCAATATTCTACATAGGACATCTTGATAGATCTCTCAATATCTCATGCCTGCTGCTACTTTCAGCAAGGGATTCTTCTGGCTATGGCTATGCAGTACAGGCTACAGAGGCAGCACTATGCAATTAGTACCTCGCCGCAGCTACTAGTTTTCTGCAAGTGTGCTATAACTGGACTGTATCTCAGTAGCTTCCAAACAACGGTGTACTATGCAAGGTCAAGTTCAATGAACAGCAACTCAGAGGATCAAGATCAACCAAGACGCCACAAACAAACCAGACCTGGAGTTCATCAACAAAGTTTGACAACAAACCAACACAACTCACCGCCAAAACAACCACCACCAACGACGATGACAACAACAATGCGGCTGTTCATTCAGTCTGCATGCGAAAGATGCACCAACCATTTACAATCTCACTCACGGCCACCACCGCATTCTCACAGGCTGCAACAACCCCACAGCCTGCATATAACCCCTATTATTCTTCTTTTCCAGAAATTCGATTGTTTCTCATTTTGGAGCTAAGGTGTAACAGAATCAGTATCCCAAAACTGAGGCCCAAGAGGAGTCATGGAAGTAGGTGCAGGTGCTTATCGGGCGGTCCAGGCACTGCGCATTATTGTTGGCAGCTTGTTAGGGGGTGTACTATGGATTCAGCTTCCATACTTCACAGCCTTGCAAGTAACGGTTGGGTTTCGGATCTCATCCTGGCTTTGGATCAACCGGATCTCTAAGCTGCTGGTTGATGGGTCGAAGCCGGCCCTCTTATAGTCTTCCACGGTTCTTCTCAGAAGTGCCTGCAGAAGTCGTAATAATAATATTATAAGTAAACTTCGAATAGTTATTACTGACAATAGTAGTGCCACAAACAG